ACGCGCGGAGGCACATCAGCGCGCTTCGCGAAGAGATCCGGCAGGAGGCCGAGCGGGAGAGGCGGCAGCAGGCGCAGCTGGAGGACAGCCCATCGGCGTCGTCGCCGTTGTCGCCGTTGTGGTCGTTGTCGTGGTCGTTGTCGTCGTCGCCGGCGACGGCGGCGGCGGCGGCGACTCGACGGTCGCGCTGGCGGCGACGGCGGCGACGGCGGCGACGGCGGCGACGACGACGACGGCAGCGGCAGCGGCGGCGGTGGCGGCTGCGGCCGCGGCGGCGGCCCGACGGCCGCGCTGACCGCGCTGTGCGCTTGTAGCCCTGGCGCCCGCGCGGACTCCCGCGTGCACCGGTATTTCTCTCCCTCTCCCTTTCTGTCTTTTTCCTTATCTCTTTACCTCAGTCTCTCCATTTTTTTCCTCTTTCTCTTCGTTGTCCCAGAAGCGTTTACACACGAGTCGGGGCCCTTACTGATGCAACCAAGGAATTGGCTGGGTGTGGCGAGGATTTTTTTACGTTACCGCCCAAAGCCGCCTCGTGGCCGCCGCTCCGTGCGCTGGGTGGGTCTGGCGAGGTTTCGCCATGTCGCCGCCCGTGGCCGCCTCGTGTCCGCCTCTTGCTTCGGGTGGGTCCTGCGGGGATTCGCAGCGTGGTCGCCTCGTGGTCGCCTCGTGGCCGCCCCGTGCGCTGGGTGGGTGGATCGGGGGAGGTTGTGCCACGTTGCCGCCCGCGGGCGCCTCGACGGCGCTCCGTGCGTGCACTATATCGCTCACGCCGCGTAGATTTTCTTTTTCGTTCATTAAGAACAGATCGACCCCCCCGGGATATTATTGTTTCACCTTTTTTTGTAATGCCATTTACATGGGCTTTTGCCCCATCGTCCATGTTAAGTATGCGCTCGTACCATCCCGGCCGAGCCGGTAGTGGCCCCCCTCGCCATCCTCTTCAAACGGACTATGCGCGCACACTCGTTTATGACAAATCACAAGTTTTCGAACATCCCTTGTAATAAAGACGGGGCGAAGTGCACGCGCGCGTCGTCGCGCGCGCATGTGGGCATCCTTCAAAAACCTTCGACTTCGTAAGGATTTCAAAAGCGAATGTCCAAACCACATATGAAAACACAGGGTTTCGCAGCATGGATTTTCAAGAAAAGCTTGCGCGCGTTCTTGCGAGTTCTCAGGAAACCCAGAGATTTTCAGAATTACCATAAAATGCGACCAAGCGGGCTTCGCGCGCGCATGTCGAAATCGTTCGACCGCCCTTGCGTGCGTGCCGTCGCGAGAACCCTTTGCAGAAAAGGACGAAGTGCACGCGTGCGCGTCGTCGCGTGCGCATGCCGGCATCCGTTCACGCCAGAATCCGTTAAAAACTTGCGTATTCGTGAGGATTTCAAAATCGAGTGTCCGAAAAACATGTACAAACACATGGTTTCGCAAACTGAGTTTTCAAACAAGCGTGCGCTCGCGCTTTCGCGAATTCTTAAGGAAGCCACCGGTATTTCAACATTTTCACGGAATTCTGCCAAACGGCCCTCTGGCGCCACATGCCGAAATCATTCGTACGCTCTTGCGCGCGTGCTGGGGGGGGGGGCGCGATCCGCGCCAAATAGTACCATGCGGGCCACTCTCGCGCGTCGGCCGCGCGCGCATGTCGAACTCTCTCCGAAACCTTCATCGCCGACGCGAGGACGCCGTCATCGTCGTCGGCGTGATCAACATCGGCGCCCGCAGTGGCCGCGCCGTCGTCGTTGTCAACATCGTCACCAGCATCGCAACTATCATCATCGTGTCTACCGTTGTCGACGTTACCATGATACCGCGCCCGCCCAAACCGCCGACTCGCACTGAAGTGCCCGCTGGGATGTGTCCAGCGGTCAGCGCCACCGCGGCCGCGTCGGTCGCGCCAAATTACTTGGTCGCTGCGCACGCGCGCTTGGGTTGGCGCGGCCGCAGAACCGCAGAGATGCACCAGCCAACGGTTCATCGCAGTCGAAGCCACGCGGTTTTGCAAATGAAGTTGCGGGTGGGTGGGTGGGATGCACGCAAGAGCATGACATGTGTCAATTTGTTATTAAATCTCGATCGCACCTCGTAGCCTCCATACAGTTCTCAGACCGCATACCCTGCACAACGTATACTGCGCCAGGCAGCATGCACTTCACAGCTCGCCCCACCGTGGTCGAATCCCATGCATCACGTTGCATAGCTAGCACATCTACACTGCAACATCTCACTGTGTGCGTTTTACGTTGGCGAACATCGTTCTCTTTCTCTTTTCCTTTCTTTTTCTCTTTCTCTTTCACTCGTGTCCCGACTGGCACGGCCAAGCGTCCAGCGGCGTGGAAGGTCTATTCTTTTGATCGTCCGCATGGGCCCAGCTTTGATGAGAAAGTTGCCCAAAGGTGTGACGCGTTCATTCTTTTAAGGCGCAGGCATGGGAGTTCTCGATCCCATCCTAGGGAACACGAGCCATTGCTGCCCAAAAGCCCGAAAACACCCCCCAGACACCAGGAAACACGAATAGATTTTTAAGTGTTCGGGGTTAAACGCATTGGAATTCGAGGGCTTGGATCGTGTTCCCTGCGACTCTGCCAGACCCTCCCCTGGCCTTCGTGAAATGTGAGACAGCGGCGCCCACGAGGCCCCCGAGCTGGGTTGCCTTTCCCGACGGGTGCACCCCGAGCTGTTTGAAGACTATCTTTGGGTTTTCTGCACCTTTTGAGAGGATCCTGGCCTCTTGATGCTTTCGGTAGTTGTCGGGACTCCGGAGGCCTCCCGGGGCCTTTGGGTACCTCTGGGAGTGTCGCGGATCTTTGGAGACTGCAGGATACCTCAGGATCAGGAGGGAAAAAACACATAGACACAATTAATCGTCGATTTCCCAGAGAATAAATATTGGAGAATATGGGAAGTGGGGGCGAAGACGGAAACCCAGAAAAAGATCGGAAAATATTGGGAATCCTATTATTTGTGCTATTTATTTGTGTGTCCCATGGCCCCTTTCACAGGATACATCCAAAAGACGCCAGATAATCCTGAAGACTTGTCACTGTTTTCGGCATCCCTGGGCCCTTCCAGGGGGCATGGTGGTGCAAACCCGGCTCGTCTGGCTGCTGCTCTGGGGAGCCCTGTGATCAGGAAGGCTGCAGCGCCGCTCAACGATGTGCTGTTGACCGCACCTGCAGGGTGGACCCTTTCCTCTTGAGGGGTTCACCCCGATCTTCTCCATATGCCGTTCTTCGTTGGCCCTCGCTGGAGCTCTGCGCGCGCGCGCCCTTCGGGCTGGGGGATCGTCGGGCGAGACCGGACAAGCTGGTTCTGGGGAAATCAGGGGCAACGATCGGGGGGGATAGGCGCAGGGTGGGATGCATCGACCTCGAATGGCTGATATATCGTTGATACATCCAGGATGAATCGTTGATGTTAGGGGGCACGTTGCCCAACTCATGTGCTTTTGCTCGGTCCGCCAAGGATAAACGGTGGCCGCATTTTCTGATCATCTGAAGTAGCGGGCAAAGGGCTGCTCGGGACACGGTGACGCAAAAGTCGCAGCATTACTGTGCCTGCCCATCACGACGTACGATTGGCCAAGGACTGTCTTCGAGGCGCCTGGCTATCCAAAGGTATCATGAAGGTCGCCACAGCAATCAAGATGTGGATAAGGCGTAGGGGAAGAAGGGAAGGGGGTAGAGAGAAGACGCGAAGGAGGAAGGATGAACGTAGAAACATGAAACGCGTAACGACGAAAAGGACGAGCGAAGAGATGAGCAGGGCGACGTCGACGCAAGGGACGAAACCAGAGAGCAGCAGAAACATATCCGCGCGGGCCCCCCTTTCGTAGACGAGACTCGGTTGGGCTGCTGACCCTGCGGTGCCCCTCGTGCGGAGCGCTGCTGGGCCCTTGTTCCCGTTGGGGGGGAGGGGAGGGGCGGTGGCCAGGATCAGAGGATCAGGGCGCAGTCGGGGGTGGCGGGGCGGCCGCGGGGTGCGTTTGACTGTTCCTGGGATCGGGGAGACGGCGCGCCCACTGCCACCCGCGGGGGATCATTCCGAGAGGCTCTGCTCGCTCATCAGTTGGGCGCGTCTGAGACGCACTGCAGAGGTATGCATTAGTTAGGCTCGGAGGAGCACCATAGTATGTATTCGGTGCGAGGACACTGGTGCGACGGCTTTGTCCCCAACCGCTCAGCGGCCCATACTCTGACACTTCGTTTGCATGGCATTTTGTTGCCTAGCTGTTTTCCATAGGCCATGCTTTGCTGCGTGGCCGTGTGCAGCACCGAATTTGAAAAACAATTTATCGGGAGTCCTCGTTTGTTCCCCCAACTAGTATCTTTTCTTCTGCCCGACGCGGATTCGATGCGGGCTCGACGCGGACTTGGCGTGGATTCGGCACGGATTCGCCGTAGATCCGACGCGGATTCGATGAGTCCGACGTGAATTCTGGTGGATTCGACATGGATTCGACGCGGATAAGGGGCGCGACGGGACAGACAAGATCCGCCGAATCTGTAATCTACGTCACGTTTTTCTTCTTCCCATAATCTGTTCCCCCCTGAAAAGAGGGCTTTCGTAGGTAACCCTTGCCGTACCGTCAGGCGACCGAACCGCCCAAGTCGTGCCCTCGACACGGCGGAGGCGATGGGAAGGGTCCCGACTTTCTGAAAAGTCGGGACGTCTTCGGGTGTCCCCGAAACCGTTTTGTACGGGCACCGTTCTTGACGCCCGAAACGGGTACAGCCAACCCGCATAGTAAGGACGGGCAACCTTCCCAAGGGTACCCTTGCATCCTTGCCTCCTCGGTGCATCCCTGGCTACTTCCGTTGGCCGCGCCCCGCTCGAACACTCCGAAGTGGGCTTCCGAGGGCCTTGCATCCCCATCGCGCATCCTTGCTATACGGGTTGACTGCACGGACAAGAAGGGGTACGATATCCAACAGCGAGTGTTGCCCCAGAGCGACAGCGGCCGCCGCTGGTCAGTCGATTGCACTTAAGAGTGACCCTTCGCCGGAGTGACCTTTGGTGCGGGCTCCCTGGGGCCTCGCAATCGCCGAACGCGAGGCGACAGTGGCGTCTTCCGCGCTCGTGTTTGGCCCCCACCCCCCCCCCCCCCCCCCCCCCCCCGCGGCCCCCAAAAAGCCGCGCACCAAAGGTCACTTTACCCAGGGTCACCCTTGCGTGTAGCCGAGTCAGGAGACTCGGGCCTCCAAGCGGTCACTTCTGTGCGGTGACCGCGGCGGCAAGCCCTGTTCGGAGTGGCTGTTGTGACTGCTGCTGGTCTTCGTCCCCCGCTCTGCCCGTACCCCACCCGACTTCTCCTTGCCCTCCTCCTCCTCCTCCTCGTCCTCTTTCCTCTTCCTCGTCGTCCTCGTCGTCGTCCTCCTCCTCGTCGTCGTCGTCCTCCTCCTCCTCCTCTCCTCCTCCCCCTCCCCCTCCCCCTCCCCTCCTCCTCCTCCTCCTCCTCCTCTTCTCCTCTCTCCTCCTACTCCTCGTCCTCCTCCTCCTCCTCCTCCTCCTCCTCTTCCTTCTCCTCCGTTTCCTCCTCCTCCTCCTCCTCCTCCTTATCCTCCTCCTCCTCCTCTTTCCTCTTTCCTCGTCGTCCTCGTCGTCCTCCTCTTCCTCCTCCTCCTCCTCCTCCTTCTCCTCCTCCCCCCCTCCTCGTCCCCCTCCCCCTCCCCCTCCTCCTCCTCCTCCTCCTCCTCCTCCTTCTTCTCCTTATCTTCCTCCCCCCGGTCTGTCCAGGAGCAGCACCGCAGGCTGCGGGAGGAGCTCCGCGAGGTCCGCGAGCGGCCGGAGGAGTACCGCAGGCGGTGGAAGGAGCAGTTCTTGTGGCAGCCGCAGTTCCAGCCCCGCGGGCGGGCAACCGTGGATCTGCACGCGCTTCTTGTTTTGTTCCGTCGTTGCTGAGTTCTTATCTTGCATGGCAATTATCTTGTTGATCCCGCCTACCCCGAGTGCGGACGGTTTTTGTTCAAGTACACAGTGCTCCTCCCGGGGCTCGCACTCCGGTTTTTGTCCCGGGGGAAGTCTTGGTCCTCAGGCCGCGCCCCTGGGCTCCACCCTGATACTCCCTCACCACTTATTTCAGAGTCGCTCTCTCGCGCGGGCGATTTTTGTTGGATTGACGCTTTAGCGACCCGCCGTCTCGACCCAGCCGTCTGGGCCCGCCCGCCCGACCTGCCCGTTGGGGTCCGCCCGCCCGAGCCGCCCGTCTGGGTGGTCTGCCGCCTGTGCTCCTGCCCTTAGCCCCCCTCCTGCAAACCTCTCTCGTGCTCCGTCCTCGTCCCTCTCCATTGTTTCTTCCCTCTTCCCTCCCCTCCCCTGTTTCAGGGGCCGCGCCAACTACGCGCGGCAGGTAGGGAAGCTATAGCCCCAATGGTGGTACGATCGAAAATGAGTATTGAGGGTATCGAGGGTTTGGGATATACACGTTGAATTGCACGGGGGCAGATAAGAGCAAACAGTCTGAAACTGATTTTTGTTTCCGATGCGGCGTACGCAGACGAGTGTGGGCATTGCGGGCCAGGGCTACCTACGCAGGAGTCGGAACCTTGTCACTCAGAGGCTACCTCTGCACCACTCTCTGTCGCGCATGCGTGGGCCGACCTGTCCTCTGAGGAGGAGCTGGTGCATCCTGAAGAGATGCTTGGCGACCTCGACAAGGACGCATCCTCGACCCCTCGACGCGGACGAGCTCCTCGGCACCCTGGACCGGACAGGACCTCGCCGCGCTCGAGGCCGCCACGCGCCCGCCGCACGTCGACCGGGACAGCGGGAAGCTCCCCGGGGGCTCGGTGCGGGAGCCCGCGGAGCAGCACCGCAAGACCGGCTCCTCGCTCCCCACCCTCGGCGAGGGGCTCGGCGCGGGGGCGCCGCTGGCACCGGAGGGCGCCCGGCCGCCGCGCCCCCAGGGAGGCCCGGCGGCGAGCGGCTCGTGCGCTCCGTCGACGATCGCCTCGGTCCCGAGCAGCTGCACCGTCGCGCAGGCCGCGGAGAACTGCGGGAGGGCCTGCGCCAGCGTCTGCAGCTCCTGCCGGAGGGTGGCCGCGCACCCGAGCTCGGGCTCCGTGGCGCGGGCGCCTCGGGAGCTCGAGAAGCGGTGGTCTGTTGCGACGGTTGGATTGACGTCGTCGCAGACGTTGTAGATGATGCTGTCTGCACAGTATCTAGTGCACGGGGATGTGTGTGTGTGGACTTGCACTACTTCATTTGTAGAGGTAGTTGTCGACTGCGTTCTCGATGCGGTTGTGAACACGGTAATGGCGTTGGAAGACTGTGTGTTAGCTGGGGTGGAGAACGTCGTGCAATCATGCGGTCATGAACCGATCCCCGCAGAATGTTCTGGCACGTGGGTTTGCTGTACGCAGGCCGCGAGTAGCGCTCTGAACTTCTTCATTTGCTGGTTCCCGATAATTCTCGACTCAATCTTGACAATTTACGGGGCTCAATGTCTACCAAACTTCGCAGACAGCATAAAGGACCCCTTGTTTCCTTCCGAAATGATTGTTCAAACTACAGTTGTGGAAGCAATCATGGATTTCGGTGACGCGGTCTACGATGGGATCTATGAAGCAAGTCTGGCGGTGGCGTCCACCCTAGATTGGTGTTGGGACGAGGCTTCCTCTGCCGAGTTCACTGACTGCGACGCCGTCGACATAGTATAAAGTATTGTTTCGAGGGACGTGACTGACATTTTCGGGATGGCGTCCAGATTCGGGGATGCCGTGACGGCGGTGAATGACTACTTAGGGAAGACTACAAATCTCCCAGGGATTGGTGACATTCCGACCCCTTCCTGAACGTTTCTTGGACAGAAGGCGTTCCGTGGTGTGCCCCAACCTACGTAGTGAGTGCGGCGAGTGCAGTCGTTGGTGCGTTCCAGTACATAACAGGAGGATGGATGCTTGATGACCTCATCATTGTGGGCGATAGACTCCTGACTAAACTCCAGCAGAGGCTGGAGGCAGTGTTTTGCGACGGCGGCGACGTCACCATAAACTTGGGAGCCGAACTCACGATGTTGTACTTTGTGTTTGGAATCAAGCTTGCGGCTGGATGTGAGGACGGCGATTTCAACGCTCACGTAATCGGCTACGCCACGGGCAGAATTCCGATTCTCTGGACGCCGTTTAATCCAGTGCCCATGGTCGATGGAGTGTTCAGCATTAAGTGTGACAAGGGGCCGAATCCTCCGAGTTGGTCGTATCGGGGATCTGCTCTTGGCGCCATGCTTGCGGCCGGCCCTTTCAAGGCTGCCGTGTCTCTGCCGCCCTGGCCAGAATTCAGTCTCCAGCTCGGCTACACTTTCAAGGGGACCCTAATTCCCCTGCCGCTGCGTCGAGCCCAAACGGCAGCCACCGAGCCAGAGCTGGAGGGGCCGAAGTCGGTGCTGCCCGTGCTGAAGTCTCTGTCCGGGGCCGTCTCCGACCCCGGCTTCGGGAGCGAGCTGCCAGACCCCAAGCCTATCCTGGAAGGGGTCCGCAACGCGTCGCTCCAGAAGGCCAAGCTCGATTGGGACATCGGTGCCAGGATCTTCATCACCGTAACCAAGAACTTCTGTTTCACCTGCGATGCTTGGGGGGAGGAGCCTGCTTTGGTCACGGGCCTTGTCGGCATGGCCACCCCGTACATATGCCAAATGAGTGGGGCGACTGCGGGATCCTCCTGGTGTGCGCTGACTCGCGCCCAGTGCTTCGCCGCGGTGGCAGCTTGGGAGCAGAGCGGAACCACGTGTGCTTGCATGCTTGGCGACGCGATGACGTCGGGGGTCTGTTCTGAACAGGCTGGAGCCAGGGCCAGTGAGGGGTCGTCCAACTTCCAGGTCTGCCGGAATCAGAGATACACCTGTGAGACTGGGAGCGGAATCGCGTGCAAGAGCTGTGTCTCGCCGCAGTCGCGATTGGCGCAAGACCACTGCGAGACCTGTAACGATGGCTTTCAGCTGGCCGGCTAGCATCTCGGTGACCTCCAGTTCCGCGGAGTGGACGACGTCACCGAGACGCCCAAGTGGTTGTGCTTTGGGAGCGTTGCCCCGAAAATCGTGCACGGACGTAAGCTGACTGGCGTCAGGTTCCTCAATCTGTATGTGAAACGATTGGGGAGCACAGGATTAAGTGTCGGAGGTTCGCTGGGCATGGGCGATCACAGCCAGGAATCAGCTTCGCTGCCTCCGAGAACTGACTCTGGTGAGGTCGTTGAGCTTGCCTAATTCACTTGACGTTCCCGTCACGGCCGCTGTACAGGATTTTATTCCTGATCACCGACCAGGGGAGCACATCGAATCCCGTCCTCCTCTTCTCCTTCTGGGGCCGCCTGGTTCGGTAACGAATGCTGCAAGCGTGAACTCTGAGCGACGCAGCTATGCAGTTGCAAGCCCGCTTCCCTACAAAGAAATCGAAAAGGGTGTGCAAGGCTTGATCGGTTTATAGACTTAATGAGGCCACGACTTGATAGCGTCCTTCAAGTGACGACCAGTCGACGGTCCCGTCTAGGCCGCTTCGTAGGATGAGGTTTGGGTGACGTTCGTATATCCTCATGCGGAGGCGGTTCCTCTCCACACTGCCACGGCAGTTCTGGTTCGGCACCGCATGCTGCCCATCGAACTTTGCGCGAGGCTTACGTGCAATCGCAAGCCTACTCCAGTCCCAGAAAAAAGCCAGACAAAAAGGACTGCCCCGAGCTACCCCAAAGAAAGCCTCCAGGGGGCTCCGACTGCCCAAGAAGCTTTCCTAACGGCCCAAGAGGCTCCCAAGACGGCCCAAGAAGGCTCCAAGGGGACCCCGGTGAGTGCCCAGAGAGGCCAACATTCATTAGTGTCCACTGGCTTTTGAACGAATTTTGCGTGCAAGCCTTCTCGGGCTTCGAACGCTCCAAGACGGTTCAAGAGTCTCACAGGCCCCCAGGAAGCCCTGAGAGGTCCCGAAGAGGCGCCATGAGGCCTCCGAGAGGCTACCAAGTGGCCCCAAGAGGCCCCTTCGAGACCCGAAAGAGGCCCCCAGAGGCTTCCAACAAGGTGCTTACGACCCCCCCGGGGCCTACACAGCCCCGGCAATGTGGCAGGATGGTCCGAACCGTGCGCTCCGTCCTGAGTGTGTCTTGTCTGGTCTCTTATGAGGGGACTGATGATGACGACGACGACGACACCGATGATGAGGATCATGATGAAGATGATGGATGGTGCTGCTGATGATGATTATGATGATAAGGATGAGGATGAGGATGATGATTATGATGATGACGATGATGATGATGATGATGATGATGATGATGATGATGATGAGGATGAGGATGAGGATATGGATGAGGATGAGGATGAGGATGACGATGACGATGATAAGGATGAGGACGATGAGGACGATGAGGATGATGACGCTGATGATGTTGAGGATGATTTGGATGATGAGGATGATGAGGATGATGACGATGATGATGGATGATGCTGCTACTGATGATGAGGATGCTGATAAGGATGAGGATGATGATTCCGATGATGATGACGATGATGAGAATGATGAGGAGGAGTATATGGATGATGATGATAATGATGATGAGGATGAGAATGATGATAATGATGAGGACGATGAGGACGATGAGGACGATGAGGATGATGATTATGATGATGGTGAAGATGATGAGGATGATGAGGACGATGAGGATGGTGACGATGATGATGCTTGATGATGGAGGTGGTGATGATGATGACGATGATTCTGATGCTGGTGAAGATGATGATGATGATGATGATGATGATGATGATGATGATGATGATGATGATGATGGTGATGATGATGATGATGATGATTATGATGATGATTATGATAATGATGATGATGATGATGGAGTTGGTGATGGTGGTGACGATGACGATGGTGATGATGATGGTGATGACGATGACGATGATGGTGATGATGATGCTGCTGTTGTTATGGTTGTGGTTGTGGTTTCAGTTGTGGTTGTTGTTGTGAAGGTTGCTGCTGTTGTGGTTGTTGTTGCTGTTGTTGTTGTTGTTGTTGTTGTTGTTGTTGTTGTTGTTGTTGTTGTTGTTGTTGTTGTTGAATTCTCATTTCTGAAGAATAATTATTGTTGATCCCCCCACCGGTGCATACTGTTTTTTCTCAATCAAAGTGTGCCCCTCGACGCTCGCACCCTGTTTTTTGACAAGGGAAGTCTTCCTGCTCAAACTGGGCCCCTGGCCCCCGGGTTACAACAACAACGGCTCCCGCCTGAGACGTCCTTACAATTTTGCCAGGACCCCCGCTCCCGCCCGAGACTTCCTCGCATTTTATTCAGGAATCGCGCTCTCGCTTAGGACTTCCTTATAATCTATTCAGGAATCGCTCTCCCGGCGCTCTGGAGTCGTGCTCTCGCTGGAGACTTGCTTGCAACTTACTGAAGAATGACCTTGCGTTGGAATTTCTTGCAATTTGCCCAAGCGCCGCGCTCCCGACACCCAGGCACCCAGGAGTCGCGTCCGTTGTGGCCCCATGTGCATGCCCTTCGAGGCCCCGCTGTCGCCATTTGTGCCCCCCTCACTGTCCTACGTGGCCCAGTTGCTACCATCAGTGGCCCCATCGTTGCTTTCTGTGGCCCCGCATTATCTGCACTTCGTGGCCCCCGCTCGTTCGCGCTCTTCGTGGCCCCATACGCATTCCCTTCGTGTCCCCGCTGTCGCCCTTCGTGGCCTACTTCGTGACCTTCGTGGCCCTGCTGTCGTTCTCTCTCGCTCTCGCTTTCGCTCGTCGTCGCCGTCGTCGTCGTCGCCGTCGTCTTCGTCTTCGTCTTCGTCGTCGTCGTCGTCGTCGTCGTCGTCGTGGTCGGCCCCCTGTCCGTCCCTCTTGGGGTCGGGTCGACGGTCCGCGGCCTCCCCGCCGATCAGCGCTGCCGCTGGCCAGGCCGACGGTCCGCGGCCGCCCCGCCGCTTCCCGGGGCCCGGCCTGCAGGGAAGAAAGGTATACACCCAAAAGGGGTTCGATCGAAAACGAAGAGGGCGGGTATCGAGGTTTTGGGAAATACGCGTTATTGGACACTCGAGCATATAAGGGCGAACGGTCTTAAAATTGTTGTTGTTGTTGTTGTTGTTGTTGTTGTTGTTGTTGTTGTTGTTGTTGTTGTTGTTGTTGTTGTTGTTGAACATTATTCCTTCTAAAGAATTATTATTGTTGGGACCCCTGGTGCGCGACCTCTGCGCCGCGCCTAGGCCGCAGCTACATTTTCATCATTTTTTCGCGAAAGCTTCAGAAAAGTGGATGAGCTCCGGATCCGGTTTTTTGTTGACGCTCGTTTTCCCTTGCAAAAAACAATAGAAAATGAAAATTCTTGTTTTTACTTGATCAAATTGCAAGAATCCCTTGCAAAAAATAAGGTAAAGTGGACATTCGTGCGCGCAAGACGAAATCCTTCCAAAACCTTAGGTTTCGTAGCGATTTTAACATAAAAACATCAAAAACCCAATGGTTTTCTCAGAAAAAATTGTCAAAATGTCCTTCCGCGCGCTCTTGCGGATTCCTAGGAAACCCACCAGATTTTAAACATTTCTGTTAAAAGGGCCTTTGCGAGGAACCTTTTCAGGTGCTTCGACCTTCTGCAACAACGGTTGCGAGCCTACGAGGGCCACCATCCCTTGCAAAAAATGTCACGAAGTGCACATGCGCGCGGCTCAGGTTGCCTCACACATGTGACGAATCTCTTTCTATCTCTCTCTCCACTGGCTCTCTGTCTTGCTCTCTCTCTCTCTCTCTCTGTCTCTCTGTACTATGTATGTCATACGCAACAAATGCACCATGCGGGGCACATGCGGGGCCCAAACAAGTGATCAACCTCTGCGGGTGTGTACTCCACGCCAGTGTAGTATCTACGATCGTCCGCGCGCCACGAAGTGAAGTGTCCTGACGTCATAGGGCGGGAAGCTGGGTGTGGGTGGTTCCCGAGAGTCGTGTGGATGTTTGGTAGAGCTTGCATTGCCCCCCCACGAAGTGGGGGTATTGGCTGGCGTCGCATGAAAACCCTGGCACTGGGGAGAACACTGAGCGTTCGGGTAAAATGATTGTGGTTGTTGTTGTTGTTGTTGTTGTTGATGTTGCCGTGGTTGGTGTCGCTGTTGCTGCTATTGTCATCATCGTTATTATCATTGTTAAAGACTCATTTCTGAAGAATATCGTTGATCTCCAGAAACGGTTCCGCGCGCTCTCGCCTAAATGCCGGCTACATTTTCTCTGAAAACGAGGCTCCCGCTCGAGCGTTGGCTTGAGCCTATGTGTGGGCCCTTGGAGGTCCAGCTGCGACAACAACGGCTCCCGCTCGATACTTCCTCACAGTTTACCCCGAGACACCCTGGCCAGAGAGGCCCCCGAACTCAGGAACGGCGGTTTCGCTCGAGACTTCCTCGCAATTCAATTAAGTTGGCGGAGGCCCAGCCACGACGACAAGGGCTCCTGCTCGATACTTCCTCACGATTTACTCGGAGAGCCCCTGGCCAAGAAGGCCCCCGAACTCAGGAACGGCGCTCTCGCTTGAGACTTTCCCGTAATTCAGGCAAGTTTGTGGAGGCCCGGACACAGCGACAAGGCCTCCCGTTCGATATTTCTCCATACGTATTCCGAGAGCCCCTGGCCAGAGAGGCCCCCGAACTCAGGAACGGTGCTCTCGCTCGAGACTTCTTCGCACTTTAGTCAGTGGCCGACAAGGAAAAGATTCCCCCCGAAAGGGGGTACAATCGAAGACGAAGTGGGCGGGTAACACGCGTGCCAGTAAGAGCGAACAGTCTTAAAATGATTGTTGTTGTGGTTGTTGTTGTTGTTGTTGTTGTTGTGGTTGTGGTTGTGGTTGTGGTTGTGGTTGTGGTTGTTGTTGTTGTTGTTGTTGTTGTTGTGGTTGTGGTTGTGGTTGTGGTTGTGATTGTTGTTGTTGTTGTTGTTGTTGTTGTTGTTGTTGTTGTTGTTGAATTTTCATTTTTGA